CTCTCTCTGTCCCAAAAATAAATAAACATTAAAAAAAAATAAATAAAAAAAAATAAAAGCTATACATTTAAAAATTTTGTAAGGAACATGGTATGTATGATGTGTTTCATTTTAGGTATGTGTGGGATATTCATTTGGAGATGTCCTGGAGACATTGGCACACATGGGTATGAAGCTCAGGGCCAGAAGTGGTGACGAGATAGAAACATTAGAGATACTAGGGCTTATCAGTGGTATTGAAACCATGGGACTGGATGAGCTTGCTTGGGGAGGTTTAGATGGAGGCTGAGGATAGGGCTCTGAAATGGCATTTAAGAGGTAGGTGGAAGGTGAAGAACTCAAAAATAAATATATAGGGGGCTCCTGAGTGGCTCAGTCGGTTAAGCATCTTGACTTTGGCTCAGACCATGATCTCGTGGTTCTTGAGTTCAAGCCCCACATCAGGCTCTGTGCTGACAGCTCAGAGCCTGGAGCCTGCTTTGGATTCTGTCTCCCCCTTGCTCTCTGCCCCTCCCCCACTCATGCTCTGTCTCTCTCTCTCTCTCAAAGATAAATAAACATTAAAAAAAAAATTTAAAAAAGAAAAGAAATAATGTTGTTGGAAGAGACCATAGGGAAAGTGGGAAAGGCATGGGCTTTACACAATCAGACCAGCTCTGCATTTACTAACCATGTGACATTAACTTTTCTACACCTTCACTTCCTCATTTTTGGAATAGGAATAATATGGTCTATTTTATAACATTGTCTAGAAGATGAAGTAATAGGGAAGCAGTAAGGTCTGTTAGTTGAGATAAGATGGGCATTTTAGAGTCAGTGTCTGGGTTTGGATCTTTGCTTTCCTATGTACTGGGTGTATGGCCTCAGGGAACTATTCAACTATTCACTTTCCAAATGAGTAATGATAATAATACTTCATAAAAATATTTCAAGATTTAAATGAGCTAACAGAAGTAGCATGCTTAACTTGAGGCATAGTAGGGACTCATTGTTTGCCTTGATACGTATAAAGCATCTAACATACAAGCCCAGCACACAGGTACTTGGTGTTAGTGTAGGCCTCCTTTCAGAAGCTTCTTAACAGGAAGGAGACCACACCCTTTGCAGAAGGCACAACAGGGGAAGGACTAAGAAGAATGAAACCGAAGAATGAAAACGTGCATTGGTAGTGATATTTGGCGCAGGGTCTGATTAGGTTAGAAGGGCATTAATGAAATCCAGTTTGGCTTAAGGTATTTATCCCAACCTTGTGGTGAAGGGAACTATTTAGGATGAATAGTTCTATTTTCCCCTCTCCAGGCAAACACAGAGCCGCCCAAGCTGAGTAGAGATGAGCAGCGGGGTCGAGGTGCCCTATTACAGGATATCTGCAAAGGGACCAAGCTGAAGAAGGTGACCAATGTTAATGATCGGAGTGCTCCCATCCTTGAGAGTGAGTCTAAGCTTCATTTCCTAGTGAGCCACCAGGGTCCCAGGATCAAGCTGGAGACTTGGCTGGCCTGTCATTTTTATTGTTGGGCCTTGAGTGGGAGAGTTTTGTCCTTTAGGAGAGTTTTCTTTGAATGTTCTTTGGCCGTCTTTGCCTCTGTTCATTTGAATATCTTAGAAGTTTCTTTTTTGACCTTTGGGAAGTGTTCTCTGGGGTAAGATTCTCTTCTACTGTAACTAGTGCTTGTTAGGGTTTATCTTTGGCAGTTCTCTGAGGAGACCACTGTATTACTAAAAACCACTAAGCTGAAGCCAACGATGATTTCTATAATTGTCACAGGTGTCCATTCAGATAGGCCTCTGGAGAGTTGCTCACACCTGGGTCCCTGAGTCATTGGCCCCCTTACCATCTGGGACTTGGAGAGACACTCCTCTGAGCCTGTCTTTATCCTGGTTTTCCCTCTGCCTTTCCTAAATAAGGGAAGTTTGGCTTCTTTTTCCTTTTGTTCTTTCTCTTTCATCACAGTGTAGAATTTTATCTCCACATGAAGCTGTGGATCTGAGAGGCCTAGCAATTTTATTTTTAATTTAAATGCAAAGGCAAAAGCAAGATTGGTTTGTTTGCAAATTAAAGCCCAAATAGAGGAGGGGTTTCTCCTCAGGATTGACTTGGTCACCAGCTTGGAGCATGTGAAGTAAAAACCCTAATGGTATGCTTTCCAGAACCCAAAGGAAGCAGTGGTGGTTATGGCTCTGGAGCAGTTGCCCTGCAGCCCAAGGGAGGTTTCTTCCAAGGGGGAGTGCCGAAGCTCCGACCTGTGGGAGCCAAGGATGGTTCAGGTATCTGAGCAGTACTTTATTAGGATATTTCCCAAGTGCATTAATTTCTAACTAGTCCCAAGTGGGCTATCTAGGGTTAAGGCATGTGGTAGAGGTGGGAGAAAGGAGAAAAGGGAGCAGGGGAGGGGTTACAGAGTAGAATAAAGCCAAAGCTGAGGGATTAAATAAAAATGTGTTCATCTTGTATCAGCAGTATTTGTTAGTGGGCCCTGAACCTGAAACCAGATTAAAACCCAGAACTATACCAGGCATTTACCTGCTACCATGCAGGTTACACTGAGGAGGCTGGGTGAAGGATATACTGACCAACATGTATGTATGTTGTATTTGTAGAGAACCTAGCTGGTAAGCCAGCCCTACAAGTCCCCAGTTCTCGAGCTGCTGCCCCAAGGCCACCGGTGTCTACAGCCAGTGGGCGCCCTCAAGATGATACAGACAGCAACCGAGCCTCACTCCCAGAACTGCCCCGGATGCAGAGACCATCGTTACCGGACCTCTCTAGGCCTAATACCACCAGCAGTACAGGCATGAAGCACAGCAGCTCTGCCCCTCCTCCACCACCCCCGGGGCGGCGGGCCAACGCTCCCCCTACACCTCTGCCTGTGCACAGCAACAAAGCCCTAGCCTACAACAGAGAGAAACCCTTGCCGCCCACACCTGGACAAAGGCTGCACCTTGGTCGAGAGGGACCTCCTGCTCCACCCCCAGTCAAACCACCTCCTTCCCCTGTGAATATTAGAACGGGACCAAGTGGCCAGTCTCTGGCTCCTCCTCCTCCGCCTTACCGCCAGCCTCCTGGGGTCCCCAATGGACCCTCCAGTCCCACTAACGAGTCAGCCCCTGAGCTGCCCCAGAGACACAATTCTTTGCATAGGAAGACACCGGGGCCTGTCAGAGGCCTAGCGCCTCCTCCACCCACCTCAGCTTCTCCCTCGCTACAGAGTAATAGGCCACCACCCCCAGCCCGGGACCCTCCCAGTCGGGGAGCAGGTAAGTGCCTGGAAGCACCTTTTTTTTCTATTAGATGGAGAATTGAGTTAATTGTCTCATCCTTTTCTCCAAAGCTCTCCTTCAGCAATTGAAGAGAGAAAAAATTCACTTATTCAATAAGTTTATTGAGTTCCTTTTTATGTGTCGGACTGTGTTAGGGAAACAGCAATCGATAGAAAAGACAGAAGATTCCTGTTCTCTGGACAGTCAAGCAAATTAGTAAAAAAAAAAAAAAAAATTAGAGAAATACAAAGCAGAGAAGGAGGGGAATAGGATCTATGGGGTGGAAGGTGGTGGTGATATTTTTATTGCAGGAGTGGGGTATGAAGTGACAGTCTGGCAAAGACCTGAAGACAATAAGCTAAGCAGTTTCTGGGAGAACAGCTATTGCAAGCATTGAGAACAGCAAATGCAAAGGCCCTGAGACTGGGGACATCAGGGAGGCCATCTTGACAGGACTAGAATGAGTAAGGGGACGAGCGGCAGGACATGGAGATCAGGAAGCTAGATTTCCTCGAGAGAATACTGCAAGGCTTTATCATGACTGGGATTTACTTGGAGAGATGCAGAGCCACTGGAACCATGGGAACAAAGGAGAAGCATTGCTTCAGATTTTATTTATTATTATTTTTAAATTTTTAAAATGTTTATTTATTTTTGAGAGAGACAGAGAAAGCGAGGGAGGGACAGAGAGAAGGAGACAGAATCCCAAGGAGGCTCCGTGCAGTCAGCACAAAGCCTGATGTGGGGCTCAAACTCACAAACTGACAACATGACCTGAGCTAAAATCAAGAGTCAGGATGCTTAACCCACTGAACTACCCAGGTGCCCTGTTGCTTTTGCTTTGAAAAGGATGACAAACTCCTGTGTTGAAAACAGACTGCCTGAGGACAAAGTTGGCAAAGGAGACTCCTTCCGAGGCTGTTGAAATAGACTGGGCAGATAGGTAGGATCACAGCAGGTTTGGGGGAAGAAGACAGGTGTTCACTTCTGGACAAGTCAAGTTTGAGATCCCTGTTAGCCAAACACCAATTCATTATTTTCTCTTGGATGTCTGTCAGACTTTGAAGTTCAGGGGAGAGATCTGGGCTAGAGAAATTTGAATGATATTGAAAACCACGTGCTGGGGGAGCTCACCAGAGGAGCTGATCTAGGTAGAGAAGAGGTTGAGGCTTAAGGCCTGGGGTCCTCCTATATCACAGAGATATATAGTAGCGAGCAGAGGAAGCTGAGAAAGAGCCTCTAGTGAGGAAGAAAGAAACCCAAGAGAATGCTGGAAGGATGCCAGGATGGAGTCATCAGCTGTGTCCGGGGCTGAAAACAGAATGACATTGGTGTTAGCAACTTGGAGTCATTGGGGGTCCCGCAAACAACATGATACCCTTTAGAGTAGTTTCAGTGGAATGGTGGAGGATGAGGGTAAAAGTCTAACTGGGATGTGTTTGGGAAATCTGGAATAGGAGGAAAGGAATTGGAGATAGCAATGTAGAAATCTCAGTTTGCTTCAAGGGGAGTGGGGTGCAGATAAATGGAATGGTTGCTGGAGGAGGATGTGAGAGTGAAGGTTCGGACCCCTCCTCCCCATGGTGCAGTAGAAGCAGGGGAAATTGCTTGAGTAATGTCCTCAAGAAGGCTAAAAGGAATGGTATCTGATCCATAGGTAGGAGATTGGCCTTAGATAAGAACACCGTTCTTCCATGGTAACCAGAGGGAAGGTAGAATGCATAGGCATAGAAGCAAGTGGGTAGGTGGGTGTAGTGATAGGAACATGCGCAGAGTTTCTTCTGGTTTGTTTCTAATTGGCGAAATGGAAAGCAGGGATATCTGCTGTGAACAAGGGGTGGGGGGAAGGAGAGAGAGGGCATGAGTGGCTGTCTAGAGGTGTGCTGGGATAATCAGCAACATGAAAGGCCCACTCAGGGTTAGGAGCCATACACTCAAAGTGAGATTAGCACAGTGTGTGTCGAGCTGTGCATTTGCAGGTGCTGAGTGGGGCAGCATGGTATTTAACCAGGGTTAGCTTTTTTAGGCATGTGTGATACTAAGGGAGAGTGGGTCAAGGAAGCTAAGGATTTAGGTCAGGGACTGATTGTAACAGTGGACTTTCGGCCTAAATTGGGTGAGCAGGAGACTAAGGAGCTCTCGAAAAGGTAGAAGAGGTTGTGTAATCTTTTTACAAAATAGCATGACTGAAAGTAGAGTGAGGTAGATCATGAAGCTCTCTGGTGCCTTCCTAGACCCAGGAATTTTGGCTCCCATGTCCTCTTGTATCATTGGACTTTGAGCCACACCCTCCACAAATGGCTTTTGAGCTTTTATTTTATTATTTTTTTTAGAGAGTGCATGAGCCAGGGAGAGGGGCAGGGAGAGAGAGAATCTGAAGCAGACTCCACTTCCATCATAGAGCCCAACTTGGGGCTCGATCTCATGACCCTGGTATGACTTGAGCCAAAATCAAGAGTTGGACACTCAGCTGACTGAGCCACCCAGTTGCCCCGGCTTTTGAGCTTTTAAACAATCAGTCCTTGCTGATATAGATCATTGATGAAGAAATTAAGTGATCCAGAGGCCGTATAACCTGTGCTGCTGGTTGGTGAGGTACATAGAGATTTGTACTCTAGGAGCTGGCAGTCCAGCCTAAGCTGTCATATAGTACCTGGTACGTTCCTGATTCCATGTCTCCTTGGTTTTAGCCATAAGAATCCTATTCCTAAGGTGGCCTTTGATTCTATAAAATTTAGGTTTAAAAAAAGTCTTTTTAACTTAGGGACTTAAAAAAAAACTCTTTAAGTAGAGCCCATATCTACCTAACTCCATCCAGAAATAGAAGTGGGGAAAAAATGTAATTTCTGTGGGTTGAACTGAGTAATTTTAATTTATTTCTCAATTTGATTCAATTTAATTTATTTTAACTAGGCTGTAGGCCTAAAGTGGGGTGTGAACTCACTACCCCGAGATCAAGAGTCACATGCTCTACTGATGTGAGGCAGCCATGTGCCCTGAACTGAATAGTTTTAAATGTCTGTGTACTTCTTGCTTCCCACTTCTCAGTTCTTTCTTTGGGGTTTCTTTAGAAGAATGTGAGGTTATGAGCCTTGTTCTTCTGTCACTTAGCTATCACCAACTTTGAGGCCTGGTGGAGGCCTCAGCAAGCTTTCCTTTTTTTTTTTTTTCCCCTTTCAAATTTTAATTTATTTGTTTATTTTGAGAGAGAGGGAGGGAACATGAGTGGGAGAGGGGCAGAGAGAGAGAGAGAGAGAGAGAGAGAGAGAGAGAGAGAATCCGAAGCAGGCTCCCCACTGTCAGAGCAGAGCCTGATGTGGGGCAAATAAATAAACATCTAAAAAATAAATTGGGGGAGGTGCTTGGGTGGCTCAGTTAGTTAAGTATCCAACTTCTGCTCAGGTCATGGTCCCGTGGTTCATGGGTTTGAGCCCTGCATTGGGCTCTGTGCTGACAGCTCAGAGCCTGGAGCCTGCTTCGGATTCTGTTTCCCTTTCTCTGCCCCTCCACCGCTCACTCTTGCACTCTCTCTCCTCTCTCTCAAAAGTAAACAAACATTAAAAAAAAACTTTCATATAAAAAATAAATAGGGGTGTCTAGGTGGTTCAGTTGGCTCAGGTCATGATCTTGCAGTTTGTAAGTTCCAGCCCTGCTCCAGGTGAGCTCGAGCCCCACTTCAGGTGAGCCCCACTTCTCTCTCTCCCTCTCTCCCTCTCTCCCTCTCTCCCTCTCTCC